TATATAAAAATATGTATATGTATATATATGTATAAGTAAATATGTATAGGGTAAATGTATATATATGTAAATGTATATAGGTATAGTATGTATATAGTATATATATCTATATATATCTATATATATATATGTATGTATGTATGTTTGAAATAAATAACAACGTTAAGGCAAGAAAAGAGGAAGAATAAATAATTACCTCCCCATATCTGTCCTCAATGGGAACAACCATTTTAACTTCTGTAGATTGCTGTAGAGAAGTTATATATATAAAATATGCTAAGTATCCAAGAATATTCTAGATATGTCCATAGCATTACCATCCAATAGATGTTTACTTGAGCAAACCAAAAACTTTCATAATGATGCACGTGTTCCACTAGGTAATCTTGAAACAGAAAGGATATTTAAACTTTAGAAAGCATATTTATTTCAAACATTCATTCTACATTTATATATATAAATTCATATAAATATAATAGTTTTATAAAAAACAATTAAAAACACTATAAAAAAGTAAAACTTAATAGTATTCTCTTAAAAAAAATTATATTTTAAATCATAATTTTGACTTAAATAATGTTAAAAAATGTTAATATAAGAAAATCGTAGGAATTATTTATTACAAAAATGTTTTTATGAGAAACTAATTTTCCTCTTTTTTTCTATATGGGAATCGATTTGCAGTTTCATTAATGTCAATCAGGTATATTATTGTAAGGATTACAGAGCTTGTTAGAGAAATTTTTATAAGTACTGCAAGGTAGGTTTACCTTATAGTGCAATATTTCCATTAGGAGATAACAAAAGAGTTTTATTTACTTTTTATATTCACCCTAATAAAGTAGAAGAAATATTTTCTACATATTTAAACATGATTGATACTGTCTTTGGTAATACCATTTTAAGAGCATCACAAAGAATTCTTGGAAATGCCAATAGTGATACAGAAGAATTTTGTTCAGATGACTTTAAAGTAAGACTGGTTATTCAATTGAATATAAAGTTAAAAGAAAGACTTGGTTTAGAATTATAATTTTAGATTTGCAAACATTAATATTCACATTAGAGATTTATATTATGAATCAGTACAAAAACTACATTATTTAGTTCACAATGTTCTTTTATCAAAAAAACGTTAAAAAAAACTCAATTTACTCATCAAACAAAAATTTAATTTTAATTATGCCACGTGATTGCAATTTAGTCATCTATTTTAAAAATGAACCTAAATGGTTTACTAAAACCAATGCTAATGGAGCATTTGGCAACTCATTTTACAAAGTGATAGAAATTTAGTTATATATAATGATTTTCAAAGCATTTGGAATAGTGACACATATGGATGTTTAATACCATCTTTTTTGTCTCTTCAAAATTATGCAAGTTAGTGCTTTAATAATATTCCAGTATCAACAAGAGATCAAATTACTACTTCATGGCTTTAAATTCAGTAAATTGTGAGAGAAAGTAGTGTTATTTATAGTTTGGCCCATACATAACTTAATTTGGAAAGGACTTCAAAGTATTTGGAATATTGCAGAGTAGTTGGATGTTTAATACTAACATAGACGTCTAACAAGGATGGTAATGCTTGTATTTAAAAGCATTTACCAAGATTAAAGATCAATAAACCACTAATACTATATTAAACTACAAAAAAGTAATATAAAGCATCCATTACTACAACATTACTAGAAACAATTGATTGAATTATTTTGTTTTTCAAACAATATAAAGTGTTAATATTTAAGATATTAATTTATTAAAATTCAAATATTCCATCTAGATGCTGGTTGTCTTTGGCATGAAAGCATTGGAAAATAACATCATTCTTACCAATCTAGTTTTTTCTGGAGCGGTTTCAGATTCCAGAACGAGCACCCACTCATTCATAACGATACATTCCAGTCCAGTGCATGATCCTCGGCTTGCAGCTATGGTGGAGGCACGTTACTTGCCTGGTCGCTCTGGCAGCTTACTTGTAAACCAGCAGCCTCTCGGCCTAGCAGAGCAAACGCACCAAGTTGTGGTGTGTGAGAATCTCCATCATGAGCTTATCAGCGTAGCCAAGAGCTCGAGCCTCTTGATCGCGACCATGGAAACATGTGTTTCGAGGTCGCTTGTTTCTCTTGCAAGGTAATTTTACAGCTTGATAGCTCACGTCCAGTTCCCGCTCCCTCCTTTTTGCAAGCCAACAAAACATGGATTAATCACAACAAGCACTTTTTTGGAAGAGAAGAAAATACGCACCTGTTTTTCTCCATGACCTACACTTGCACTTGAAGCGCATTGTGGAGGCTTCCCATGTTCATGGGAAAAAGATGGATCCCGACCACACAGCCGACTCCGACTTGCGAGGGAGGGGCAATTAGAAATAAAAACCATGAGCCAAGGCGTATATTAGATTTTATGCCATGCATGCGCTGGACACATCATGACCTGGTCTACTGGATTGTTTACATTTGACATTCCATATTCTCAATCAACTTGAGGCCAAATTTGATAACCCACGAACGCGCAAACGTGTTGCCTCATTCGAATTCGCATGTAAGTCTGGCGTTAGCAAACATGTTGCATGGCGTAGTGATCTCTATCTGATATGCTTGTTATACAATATGCTCGTGTTGATGAAACACAGGACTTGCAGTCATGGCCAATGTTGATCCCACGGGTGTGTTGAGTGCGCTTGTTTCTGCAGCTGTCAACGAAGTGATTGGGCTCTCCAAGTCTGGCATTCATTGCAAGGAGAAGTGCAGCGATTTGGAGGATTCTTTGACCGAAGCATCAGCTCTGCTGGGTGAACTGAACAGGTATTCGGGCTGTCTGAGCTCCTCACATTTGGATACCTGGCTAAAAGTCCTCAAAACCAAGGTTGAAGAGGCTAAACCTCTTGTTCTTGAGTGCCAGTCCCTACAAAATCCCATTCTAGATTTCCCAAAGAGGTCGGTTGTGCTTCTCTCGAAATACTCTTGTCTGAGTTGTGACTTGTTGCAGGATAACACTTGCTACCAAGATTGACCAGTGCTCCAAAGCGATTCACGGGCACTTGGCTGCAGCTCCTCGGCATCTTGGCGTTGAGCTTCTGCAGAGAGTTGCATTGAAGAAGCAAAAGGAGGTGCCCTCTAATGTGGTTCCAAAGGAAGAACAGCATGTTGTTCCTCTGGATGAGCACATTTTTGGTATGGAAGAGATGCTGGAGCGGGTTGTATCAGACTTGCTGGGGTCCCCTGTAAGCAGCAAGTGGGTTGGAGTTCATGGAGTAGGAGGTGCTGGAAAAACACTCTTGGCCAAACGAGTATGTGAAAACCACCAAGTCAAGGAGCATTTCGATCCAGTTTTGTGGCTAACATTCGGTCAGACATGTCAGGTAAGTCCTTAAGCTTATCATAGCTTCAAGCAATACATATATTGCTATGGTTGCATCTCCTCAGGTGGAAGCAAAACAAGCCGAACTTGCCAATCAAATCAGACTAGAAAGTCGGATTAGCAATGAAACACTGAGGAGGGGGCTTGCAGGAAAGAGGTGCTTGATGGTGTTGGATGATGTCTGGACATCTGGCGATCTTTTGGATCTGTTTGATGTGGTGCAAGAGAATGGAAGCAAGATCTTCATTACCACTCGGAAACTTGATGTGCTTGACAGCAGAGGTGCAATTAAAACCAAAATGGGGCTTTTGGGAAAGGAAGACAGTTTGAAATTGTTCACAGTCCATGCGTACCCAAACCAAAAATATGCTCAGAATCAAGTCAAGAAGATAGTAATGGAGCAAGTTGTGGAGAAGTGTGGGGGGCTTCCACTGGTGTTGAAGGTAATTGGCAGAAGAATGGCAGGCAAACAAGATTGGGACTTTGTTTTGGGAAAACTCAATGATCAACAACTTGCTACTCTTGATGAGGAACAACAGGTATTGCAGCGACTTAAGCTGGGGTATGATGCATTGTTACCTCTGGGCATCCAGCAGCACTTTCTCTTCTTTGCTGCGTTTCCAGAAGACAGGCAAATTGGATTCTGGGATCTATTCAAGTGTTGGAAAGGGGAAGGGCTGGTTGCCAACACAGCAGAGGCCGTGAATGTTTTAGAAAGGCTCAAGAATCACGCACTTATTACTGACGAAGAAAACTCTCCAGGTGGACGGTGGCTGGGGGATAAGAGGTACAGGATTCACGATGCGTTATTGGCTCTTGCTTTGCACATCTTGGAACAAGAAGGCCCCAAGTGTTACTTCAAGGTTGGCTGCTCGAATGCTTGGGATGCCTTCACAAGTAACTACAGCAAGATTTCACTGGTGGGGTGTCGTCTACCTATAGGGAAGAACAGGGTCACAGTTTCAAGCACCACTTGCATGCTCCTGGATCAAAATTATTTCCATCTTACTTCATTGCCAAGCCTCTCTCTTTTCAAAAGCTTGAAGGTTTTGTGCTTGAGTCGCAGTGGAGTGGTAACCCTACCACATAGCATTGGAAAGCTCAAGAATTTACAGACTCTAGACTTGTCTTGGAATACATCACTCCAAAGCATTCCAGATTCGCTGGGAAAGTTGACCAACTTGTCATATCTGGACTTGGGGAATTGTCGGACACTCGAGACTTTCCCCGTGGATGCTTTGCTCAAACTCACCAACCTGGTCTATATAAATGGAGAGAACAACTTTGCAATGTGGACTTGCCACAGGTTGCATCATCGACTTTTCAAACATAAGAAATGCTTAAACAGGAGGTTTGGTCTCCATCTAGATGGAATGTTTCAGGCATTGACAAAGTTGGAAGTGTTGATTATTCATACAATGTTAGCTGTGGAGCTACCTGCAAGCATAGGCGAACTGTCCAATTTAAAAGAGCTGGAAATAAGGGGTCAGACGAGGGTAACATATGACAGCTTTCGATGCTTGACCAACCTTGAAAGTGTGAAACTGCAGGAATTGGATCTTCCATTGTCAGACTGGGATTGGAGCAGATTTCCAAGGTTGAGAACTTTGGAAGTGGGAGGCTTAAATGGGGAATGTGAGTTTAAAGTAACCTCCAGCATGGAGAACTTGCAAACCTTGGTTATAGGTTGGAATCACCACCTTGAGTGCCTTCCTTTCTTAACACAGGAAATGCTTCCCATGCTGACAAGCCTCTCCCTTTCGAATTGTGAAAATTTGACTGAGGTGCTTACCATTTCTCAACTGGCATCACTAAAGGACCTCAGCATCTGGATGTGTCCATCCTTGAAGGACTTGCCTATCTCGTTCCTTCCAAATCTAGGTATACTTTATCTAAGTTCTTGCGACAAAGTGACCACACTCAACATATCCGAGTGCCCATCACTGAGACGTGTTAAAATCGATAGCTTCGGCATGCTTGCCTGTGTTGCATTCGGTGGCAAGTTCCCACGACTTCAAGAAATATTCCTTGAAGGATTTGAAAATCTCCCAGATGTCTCTCTAGGTGCCATGGATGCGTTCCCACAGCTGACGCGGTTGGAAATAGAGAGCTGTGGTATTCACCAGCTACCAGAATGGTACGCTTCATTCACAAAGTTGAGAGCTCTGAATTTAAGGCATCTGGAAAATTTGGATGTGATACCTGATGGTGTTGCAAGGCTTCCTTTGCTAAGAGAGCTTGATCTGATGGGTTGCAGGAAGATCAGCATGTTACCCTCTGCAGATTAGCTCCCTTTATCCATCCTTGGAGTACTTAACCTTGACTGGCACGTCTGTCTCTCAGGAGCACCTCTCGCAACGCCTTCTAAAAGTTGTACGAAATGGACAGAAGTTACCAGATAATATCGATGACTTTGCTTGAAGTTTATGAAAGTTGACAGTGTGTCATCTATGGTGTAGAGGGCGATCCAAAGAGTCTGGAAATCCAGCGATCATGACGTATGGAACACATTCCCCAGGCCGTAGCTGTGATGCTTTGTCCGCCGCCAAAGCACCTAGGCCGGGATCGTTGTGAATCTTGCACGCATTCAGCAGTGCAATCCACATAGAATCGATGGGCAAGCACGGCATCTTCTCAGCCAAATCTTCGACTTCCTGGAGTAATCCCGCGCGGCCGAGCATGTCCGCAACGCAACTATAGTGCATGGGCGATGGAGTGAGAGAGTGATCCACCGCCATAGCCGCGAAGTAGTCCAGGCCCAACCGGACCAGCCCACCATGGCTACACGCGCTCAGTAGCGTCGTGAACATCGCCCCATCCGGTTCTATGCTTCCTTCCAGTTCCAAGGTCCGGAACAGGTGGACTGCCTCAAGTGGATATCCATTCCTCGAGTATGCCTCCATGAGAACCGTGCATGGCTCTAAGTGTCTCTCAGGGAGATTCTCTAGCACGGCTCTTGCTCTGGAAAGATTCCCTGCCTTGCCATAGCCTTCGATCACGGCCGTTGCCGAGAGTGAATCGTAGCGTGGCAGTTTTGCCAGCATTGCCTGGGCAACTGACGGATGCCCGCTTTGGGCATATGCCTGGAGGAGGATTGTCCACGAGACAATGTCTCTGGCGTGCATTCGATCGAAGATGTGTTTTAGCTCTTGAAGATTTTGGGTCTCTGATTTTGAGCAAGCTGTGACGATGGCGTTGCATGAGACGAGATCGTGCTGCGGCATTTTGTCGAAGACAATGCGTGCGTTTTTATAATCCCCTCCCTTGTCATACGCAGTTAGCAACGCCGTCATGGAGATTATGGATCGCTCTCTCATCTTTTCAAACACGAACTTTGCCTGTGTGACCATGGATGCTTGGCTGTAGGCGTGGAGCAGTGGATTCATCGCTGAAGAGCCTAGCATTGGCATTTTGTCTAGAATTTCTGAAGCTGTTTCTAAATGCCCATTTACGGCATTGGCAGAAACCAGAGCATTCCAAGCCACGGAGTCCTTCGTTTGCATACCATCAAAGACATTTATTGCGGATTCCAAATCTTGTCTATCGGAAAACGCTTTGATAAGAATTGTTCCTGAAAAATCGTCTGGAACAAACATCTTGTCGTAGAGTTCCTTGGCTTCCTGCAAATGCCCTGTTTGGGCATATGCATTGAGCATTACACTCCAGGAAAAAGATGGTTTTTGCGTCAGAGAATCAAACACCTCCCTCGCCAAGTTGACATTCCCGTTGTGGGCATACGCACTGAGCAGCGCCAGCCGCGAAGAATCATCCCGCGGCTCGTCAATTCCTTCATAAACAATCTCTGCCTCACGCAAGCTCCCGACTCTCCCATACATTTGCACCAGCAAATTCGCGAGAAATCGGTTCCCCCTGTGCCCCGCCGCGACGATCTCGCGGTGAATCCCTCGCACTTGCGACAAATCCCGGCACTGGCGCAGTCGCTCAACGCAGGATTCGAAATTAAAACCCCGCGAAGAAGAAGAAGAAGAAGAAGAAGAAGCTAGCTTTGATTTGATCCACTCTGCGCAAACCCTCCTCATGCGTCAGGCATCTTCCCCTGCCGGAAAAATCCCTCTCTGGAGCTCACGAGAATCGAACGCGCGCTTGTGGCGAGTCCCCATTCGCGGTACAGTCGGCCAAATGGTACTACCGATATTCGCGCAATTTGCTCACTCTCTCTCTCTCTCGCATTGCTCGCTCGCTCGATCGGCGCGCACTCATACAATTACGCTGGCTGGTCGATCCGATCTGTGTCAGAAATTAGGAGCGATCGAGCCACGAGCGCTATAAAACCCAGCGTTTGCTTCCTTCTTTCCATCGCCCACTGGGATTCGCGTTCGCCCCTTTCTTCCTCCTCTTCCTCGTCCATGGCGATCAAGTTCGCGCTCGTGTCCTTCTTCCTCGTCGCCGTGATCGTGCTCGCCGATCGCGCCAGTGGCGCCTGCGATGCCACCAACAACATGGGCAAGCTTCTTCCCTGCCGCCAAGCTGCTGTCAAGAACGGGAAGGATCCCAAGCAGCTCGCGGGGTGCTGCGATGCCGTGAAGCCCTTCAGCGGCAGCAAGGACGCCGCGGATTGCCTGTGCCAGAGCCTCCTCGCCGCGCAGAAGGTGGACAAGACTGTGGATCTTCACTCGGCGATCGCGATTCCAGCCAAGTGTGGCATCCCCGTCCAGGCCAATCTCAATTGCAACGGTAAATCCATGCGATTCTTCTCGAGCTGGGTGTTTGTTTGATCGATCTTGTGGGTTTCTTGCAGGAATGGCTGTTCCACAGCACTGAAAATGGATCAAATCGATGCGCCCAGTGATGCGCAGCGCTTGTCTTAGCTTGTGCTTAGTTGTGATCTATGTAGCTGCCGCACCCAATGTGGTGGGCTGGTTCTATAACGCCTTCTGCGTCCTCTGAATCAATCAATCAATCTCTCTTCTTCTTCCAAGACTCTCGATCGATCAATTGAGCCTCTCCAAGAGCCCTAGAAACAGGGGAATGACCCAACGTGCTCTGTTTCTCATCTTCGTGAGCACCCAAATTTCAGTCCCCAGCTCTGGCGCCATCGCCAGGAGGAAACAGCGCCAGGAGCAGGATTTCTTTGCGGATCTCCTCCGGTCCTGCACTGGAATCGACGATCTCGACCGCGGCAAGCAGATCCACGCTCGAATTCTCGGCACCCAGCACGGCAGCAACAGATTTCTCGCCAACACGCTGGTCGAGATGTATGGGAAATGCGGCAGCATGGAGGACGCGAAGATGGTCTTCCATGGGATTGAAGACCCCAATTTGTTCTCGTGGAGCATTCTCCTTGTGGGATATGCCCAGAATGGGTATCTGGAAGATGCGGAGAAAATATTCGCTGCCATGCCCGAGAGAAATGTCGTGGCGTGGACGGCGATGCTGGCAATGCATGCCCAGGCGGCCAATCTCGAGGAGGCTAAAAGAATATTCGACGCCATGCCCGAGCAAAACGATGTGTCCAAGAACACGATGCTTGCAGCATATGCCCAGAATGGGCATCTGGAAAAGGCGAGACTACTCTTTGACGGTATGGGGGATCGAAACGTAGTCTCCTGGACGATTATGGTCAGCGCCTACGGTCAGAATGGGCTAGTTAACGAGGCTAAGACTCTATTTGACCGAATGCCTACGCGCGGTGTGGTTGCATGGAACGCTCTCCTTACGGCAAATGCCAGGCTTGGGCATATTGAGGAAGCAAAGAAGCTTTTTGATCTAATGCCCGAGTGGAATGTGATTTCCTGGACGGCCATGGTTGAGGCGTTTGCTCGCGATGGCTACCTCAAGCAGGCTAGGCAGGTGTTTGATCGTATGAAAGAGCGAAATCTCGTTTCCTGGACCGCGATCTTGAGCGGCTATGCGCAGAGTGGAATGATTGAAGAAACGAAGTGCCTCTTTGACAGGAGTCCCGAGCAAAACATCTTCACCTGGAATTCACTGCTAGCCGCATTCGCGCTCCACGGCTTTCTCGTCGAGGCACAGCAATTTTTCGATCTCAAAATGGTGGAGCATGATCTGGTTTCATGGAACACCATGATAACGGGTTATGCTCAAGCAGGGTATATGCAAGAGGCGGTATCTCTCTTCAACCGGATGCCGTCCAAAGACGCAGTGACATGGACGGCTATGATTACCGGGCATGCGCAGCTTATGCAGCACCACGAAGCCCAAAGAGTCTTTCGACTAATGCCCGAGAGAGACGTTCTCTCGTGGTCTGCAATGGTAGGAGTGAATGCTCAGAACGGGCATTTGGGAGAATCGCGGAGAATCTTCGATGAAATGCCCTTCCGGGACGTCGTTTGCTGGAACTCGATGATCTCGTCGTACGCGGGGTCGGGCCGTGGAGAGGAATCGCTCGAGGTTTTCCATTTGATGGATCTGGATGGCACGAAACCCGATCACGTAACGTTCTCCAGCGTCCTCACCGCGTGTAGCCATCTCGGACTCTTAAACTCCGGGTGGCGGATGTTCGTGGTCTTGGCGGTGGATCACGGCGTCCCGCCGCGGCAGGAGCACTACGCGAGCATGATCGATATCTTGGCCCGGCTGGGAAAGCTGGGCGAGGCGGAGGAGCTCGTCAAGAGCATGCCTTTCGTGCCAGATCTCCAAGAGTGGGCGACTTTGCTTGGAGCTTCCAGAGTCCATCGCAACAAGAAACTGGGGATGGAGGCGGCCAAGTCGGCGATCCATCTCGGCACCAAAACCTCGTCCACGTTTGTGCTCCTGTCGGATATGTACAAGGAAGATCGATCGCTGCGAAGACTAGCAACTTAGAAGAGGATACTTTATATCGGACGATCTTCTCTTTCCAACATTCTGGGAGCTGAGATCGCAGCTTGCGATCTAGTTGGCGATCCATTCGATCGGGTACTTTTGTGGGCCGGAACCAGGGAGCGTGGACCAATTCACGGGCACCCAAAACTCGAGCGTCCTCACGAGCACATTCCACTGCCGCCACACCGTCTCCTCGTCAAGAACAACCCACTTGTTGGAGGAGTCGAGCGCCTCCTCCGCCGCCACATCGCCGCTGGACACCCGCTGGAGCACCGCCAGCTTCACTTGCTGCGTCCGGATCTTCACATCACGCACGACCGCGTGGGTGAATTCGCCGGTGCCGCTGCCGCGCACGATAACGATGTCGCCCTTGAGCGGCCATGGTGGGATGCACGGCACATTGCGCGCCTTGAGCACCGTCCTCGCGGAGCCGACGATGGAGCCAAGCCCGCCTTTCACGCCCCACGACGGAATATCCTTGTCTGCAAACAGCACATTCAGTCAGTAGCATATACGGTTACCTGACGAGAATATGCCAGACGTCTGGCGGGATTTTTCAAAATCGTGTTCTTACCGGAGATTCTAGGGCCGCCCATGAGCTCGGAGGCGCCGCGCTCGTCCGCTAGGGCTTCAGCGAAGGCGACGAGCTTGTCCTTGACGCGCGTCGTGGCGCAGGATGGCTGGACGTTCAATTTGCTCAGCTGCGGCACTCGCGGCTCCACCAGGCCGTCGAGCATCTGGACGACGCGCCCCATGGTAGGCCGCTGCGTCGGATCTTCCTGGATGCAGCACAGCGCCACACGGATCGAGCGCTTGGCTTGATCCTCGTAGAAATATTCCACCTCCTCGTGGAGCTGCTCGTCGATGAGCTCCATCGGCCGCCCCTCCTCGACCATTCTCACGGCCCACGCCGGTAAGTACCACTGCTCTGATCCCTTAGAGAGGTCGATCGTTTCGCGGCCACAGATTAGCTCCAGGAGGACCATTCCAAAGCTGTAGACGTCGGCCTTGGCCGTGACTGCTGTTCCGTGCAGCCATTCTGGAGCTAGATACCCTGGTGTTCCTCTCATGTTTGTGACCACCCGGCTCTTATCTCGATCCATGAGCTTCGCTAGCCCAAAGTCCGAGACCTGCCACCATTTCCATCTTAGTTCCTTCTATCTTTCTATACTTTCTAACGAGTGCTTTTGTTACCTTTGGCAGGAAGTTCTGGTCGAGAAGAATGTTCTCGGGCTTCACGTCCAAGTGGATGATTTTTTGGCTGCATTCTTCATGGAGGTAAGCAAGTCCTCGGGCCGTGCCAAGCGCAATGCTGTATCTCCGTGACCAGTCAAGCATGCAATCCTTTCCTGCTCAATGGTTTTTTATGGTAAGCTCGCTCTCTTTCTCTCTTGTAATGACCAGGAAAACTTACCAGGTGTTATGAACAGCCACTTGTCAAGGGAGCTGTTTGGCATGAAGTCATAGATGAGTATTCTCCGCGGCCCTTGCGCGCAGTATCCTCTCAGTCGGATGAGATTCAGGTGACGAACCGTTGCCATCACACTCACCTCTGCCTTGAATTCTTTCTCACCTTGTGTTGACGTTCTTTCCAGCATCTTGACGGCTACTTTGCTCCCGTCCTTGAGTGTTCCTTCGTACACCAGCCCAAAGCCACCGTCTCCTAGCTTGACACTGAAGTTGTTTGTGATCTTGCGGACTTGCTTGAACGAGAACTTCGCGGGACCGGCTTGTGGTACAATGTCTTTGATTGATGCTGAAGATTCCGTCTTGACCGGTGTTGGTTTCTTACGCAGCTTTTTTTGAATGCAGATTCCACCGCACAATGCCAATGCTGTAGCACTAAGAAGCACCGTTATTGATATCACGGCTTTCCGCTGCAACACAAACAAGTAAGTATTGAGCTTTTGTCTTTGATAGTATACCTTGCGCTGATTTGGCTCTTGTTTTTGTGTTGAAACAGCCTGTGTTGGTGGTAATGCTGTCTCCTTCACGCCAGAGGAAGGTTGAGAACACATCACTAAGTTCAAACTTTGGAAAATTACCTTCTTTTCAGCCAGGCGTTCTTGCTCGGGCTGCTCAGATATGGAAAGCAACGTTCGTCCAGCCTCCGACGAAGAAGTTGAAATAGGCCTTTTACCGCGGGTCTTTTGGGCAAGAAACATAAGGTACTTCATCCCAAGTAGCTTCCGAGATTTCCACTTGCTATACAAAGAAATTTACCTTTTCAGCTGAATGGAAGATAAAAGAATGCCAACAACTTACTCGGGTTTCGGGCACTGGACATCTATGTGCACAGCCCCGTAGCAACTGAGTCGCAGACCGGCAGCTTTATAGCCATCTGAGAGGACAATGGGATCTATGCTTTTGACAGAGTAGTTCAGAAGATCCTCAGAAATGGTTCTGGTAACGATGTTAGCATCTTGGGAGAGATGAAGGCCTTTTTCGGTAAATTCTGCGTACGTTGGTCGCTTACAGGTGTATAAGACGTCCCTTCACAAACAACCAGCACAAGAATTAGAATTTGGAAGAGCTGGGAAGCAAGCTCCTTACGTGAGATCACCAACGTTGTAGAAGCTCCAAAACCACTTGACGGAACTTCCAGAATACAGAACCAGACCGCCAACTTCCATTTTCAACGTATATATCCCGTTTATCTGCTTTTGAACATCAGTTTTTGTGAAGGCGAAGATCAACGTACCAATTTCATGCCGGGACTAAGAATCTGTCCAGGGAGCATCGTATCAACGGGAAACTTGAAACTTTCCCACACTGGCTGCTGTGCTGAGTTATACAGAACTAAGTTACCGGTGTCCAGGAGATTCATGCTCAAGATCTCCATGCTCGAGGTGAGTGTTTCCCATACATTGCTGGCATCACTGTGGGATAAAACCAGGTTCCCATTCTCTTCAAACTGCAGCACCGTATTTTCCTTGAGCATACAAGGAGTCCCTGCTTCGGTCTTCGCGGACCACACTCTTTGAATGACGCTCTCATTTTCAATAGGATAAGACAAGTCATAAATCGAGAGAGTGAAGATGCCAGACGATTCGCTGAAGAAACCGAAGAGGTATCTGCATTGTGATCCTTTTTGTGAGGCACGTCGGGATCATAAAAGACTTACCTCGCGTTGGGTGACTGCAGGATAACACGGGCAGAAATGCCTCTCTTTTTGCTGATAACAGCAAGCTGTCCACCGTTTTCCCATGAGATCGTCTTATGCGCAAGCAGAGAAATGAAGCTTGGAGTGTCCGCACTGTACGTTACCTCTGATTTATGAGACGAGAAGCAGTATTCAAGAATGGCACTAGCCATTAAGAGCAGCAAGAGAAAAGAGCAGCTGTGACGAACTATGACGAGCTTTCTGGTGTTTGGGGAGTATATCATCTATGGCGATCGATTCGTAAGCAGCGGCATTGCAAGCGTTTCGCTCATGTGGACAGCTGAGATACCGCTTTAAGGCAGCTGGTGTTTATCTCACAGCAACAAGCGCCGGTTCCTATCTTCTGTCACTTCAGGGGCTACATCTCAAAATAATCTTCTGGCGGTGCTCCTGCCAAGTGATACTGGCCCATCCTTTTCAACCTGCACATGGATATATCGCGTATACAAGCATATATGCTCCTGACGGGACTCACTACGGACAACGTAAAATATGGAAGTCCTGTTGGTCCAGAAGCAAGATGTTTTCTTACCATCGGAAGCAACGTTAATGTGTTGTAGAAGATTCCAAACTGGTTCAGGTCAGTTTCTTAGCTCAACTTTGTTTTTCTTTTTTTTTTTCTTGGTATTCTTGCTGATCTTGTCTTCTAACTCATTTTCAGCATGGGCTACTAGCTAATGAGACAATGCTTGACCACGTGATAGAGTCAGGCCTAGCAAATGCTCAGAAAAGTCGAATAAAGGTACAACTTGGTTGTTTTACGAGTTTTCTTCGTCCGTGATCGTATCTTCCCTGTGAAAGTTATGGATGCATTCAGCAGGCACGCATGGGTCTTTTGTAATTTTTCTCTTGGCTCAACGCTCAAACGTTCCATGTTACGAGGAAACAGGAGCGAGCGTCTTTCACTTTCGTGCCTTATCATTACGCTGCCAGCGGTGCTTCTCGTGAGCTTTTTATAGTCTTTTCATTCTCTCTCGCTGTTACTTAACGAAGATGTTGCAGGCTCGCGCTTGTGGCAGCGATGCTGGAAAGCATCACATAAGCTGCCGCTGCTTTTCTTGGATCCATGCTTACAATACCATCAGCAACATCTCCACCCGGTAAGCTTTCATCTCCCACAGCTTTCGAGGCGCCGAGTATTGTATTCCAGGCAACGCTGTCGGGATTGTAAGGCATGCTATTGACCAGCTCCCGGGCCTCCTCCAGCCTCCCCGCTCGTCCCAGAATGTCGACCATGCAACAAAAGTGCTGGAAAGTCGGGACCATCCCGTGCTCCGCTCTCATCGCAACGAAGAACGCTCGTCCATCTTCGACAAACCCGGCATGGCTGCACGAAACTAAGGCTGCCACAAACGTCACCTCGTTCGCGGCAACGCCAGTCACAGCCATGAGACGCTGGAGCTTGGTCACGTCCCCCCGGAGCCCGTTGCAAGCGAAGGCCCCCACCAGCGCATTCCAGGAGGTGACATCGCTTTGATCCATGGCCTCGAAGACGAGCTTCACTTGGTCGAGATGCCCATTCTGGGCATACGCGGAGAGCATCACGGCCTGCAAAGTGGCATCCTTCTCCGGGGCCGAGATGAAAGTTTCCATGGCTTCACGCAGATCACCATTCCTCGCAGCCAAGGCCAAGATCAGCGTCCATGCCAGGACATTCCGGCTGGGAATTCTTCGAAACAAAGCTCTGGCTTGATCGCCATCTCCATTCTGGACGTGCGCTTCCATCAGAGCCGTCCATGAGACCACGTCCTTCTGCGGCATGGAGTCAAAGAAGGCCTTGGCCCGGTCAACGCGACCGCTGCCGGCGATCGCAGTCAGCACCACTGTTGACGACTCGACGGTCAACTCGGGCATCCTGCCGGTCAATGTCAACACCTGGTCCAGCTGCCCGTTCGTAGCGAGAGCTGAGGCCATGGTATTCCACGTTGACTCGTCCCTTGTCGGCATTTCTCCAAAGACCTTAGAAGCGTTTACTAAGAAGCCACGTTGACTGTAAGAGACGAGAAGAGAGTTCCACGCAGTGACGTTCCACTGCGGCATGAGATAGAAGGTTTTTAAAGCGAGATCCAAATGACCAGCACAGGCATTTGTAGAAACCATGGCGTTCCAAGCAACAGGGTTTCTTTGAGGCAGTTTCACGAAAAGAGCCAAGGCTTCCGTGTGAGAACCTTGTTTGCCAAGACAGATGATCGCTGAGGTACGGGAAACTACATCGTGCTGTGGCATTCTTTCAAACCAGATCATAGCAGAGGCAAACTGGCCATTCTCCACCGAAGCCTGGAGCATCGAATTGTAAGTAAAGACGTCCCGGAAGGACATTGAATCAAAGATCCGCTTCGCATCGTTAGTGTTTCCCACTTGGGCGTAAGCCGAAATCATGGCATTCATCAAAACGACGTCCCACTGCGGCATTCTTTCCAGAACCTCTTTAGCTTGCGCAATCTCTCCTCGTTCCTCAAACAATCCAAGCATCGTCGTCCATGAAACAATGTTGCGCTCGGGCATTTGATAGAAAACACTCTCTCCCCCGCTTGCCTTGAGCAAACAGTTCCACGACTCCACGCTATGTTTGGCCATTCTTTCGAGAACATCCATTTCCAAAAAACAACTTCCAGTGCTCGCCACCGCTCTCAACATCACATTCCAAGTGATGGAGCTTCGCTGCGGCATCGCATCAAAGAGTTCCTTACACTCTTTAAACTGCCCATGCTCGGCTTTTGCAGACATCACGGCTGTACACGAAACCAGGTTGTGGTGTGCCATCTTCACGAAACACTCAAACGATTCTTCTACGAGATCTCTAAACAAAAATCCAGTTACAAGAACTGTCCACGCAAAAACATCTTTTTTAGGCATTTGATCAAACAAGATCCAACATTCATCAAGATGCCCATTCTCGACAAACATTTGCAGCACAGCGGTACAGACCCGAGAATCAAAATGGGGGATCTTGAGCATGTACTGCTCGGCCTGAGCGATCATACTCTTCTGGGCTAAGCCAGTGATGATCACAGTCCAGGAAACACAGTCGCGCTGTGCCATCGCATGGAAGATCTCGATGGCCTCGCGGAGGCGATCGTTCTGCGTGAATGCCGCGGCCAGGATGTTCCAGGAGAAGGCATTGGGCGCGAGGATACGATCAAACGCCTCCTTGGCGTCCTGCAGTCGGCCGCACTTGCCATGCATCTCCACGAGGAGGTTGGCGAGAAGAAGCGAGCCGTGGTGCTCACTGCTGCTGCGAATACATGCCTCGATCTGGCGGCCCAGGTGCCAATCTCTCGTGGAAGAACACGACCTCACAAGCCGTGCCAATCCCTCTATCGACTTTGGAATATACATCCATCCTTTATCACCTCTATCGACTTAGAGCCTTAAACTTAGCATGGGCTTCTTCTCGGAAAGGGGAGAGAGAGCGGGGGGGTGGTTGTGGGGGAATACTTAAATCTGGGTTAAGCCAACATCATATTGCCCAGCTCCCCAGTTCAGTAAGAATCTTTCGCTAGGTACCTT